TGCAAATATTATCCTTTGGGATTTATTTAACAATCCCACTTCTGACACCAATTGTTACGATTTTACTAAATCAACCTCGATTATTTTCTAGATCCTTCGGGTACGATCTCTGGATTGTTAAATAAAAACTCGCCAATTCAATTTGCAGTTTCTCTCGTTATAAAGATTTTATCTAATGTCTTTTATTTACTCCGTAATTCACAATACAATTGCAATACACTCTACTATTTACAATCACTATCATCAACTTTCACAATTTACTCTACTTAAATGTAATCCCAACACGTTTACTTTACGATTTTACTGATGTTAACGCCAACGAGTTTACTTTATCACTAACTTGACTTGCAGCTGAGTGTGGCCTTTATATAGCAGTCGGCTGCTCGCAGACGAAAGCGTAGAAGCATCGAATTGTTCGCTATGGAAGGTTCTTGTTTTATCGTTTCTAGAACGTACTAGTTATCGGCTTCTCTCTTTCATCTGACATTCGCCTCGCATTTTCGCAACACTATGAATATATATACATACATATTTATTCTTCTAAGTAAATTTCATCGTCTTCAAAGTAATTGGCACAAAAACCTTGGTTTATTACGGTTTTCTAAAAAAAAAATTAAATACAAAAAATTGTATTGCATATTTAGGTTTCCAAGATGGTATTTATGAACAACCCTAATAATGAAAGTCAGCATTTCATGTTCAATGTCTATGCGGTGCAGATTTCAAATAATTCGGTTTTAAGTGCGCCGATAGACATGCATGTTCATATGTACATACATACATACGTACATACATAAATATTTCTACAAGAGCTTGTACTTATGTTTTTTATTTTTGTTAATTCACCTGTCTTTGGACTTATATATAAATAGATAATCGGTGCTTTGTAACCGCTGAAGCGTTTTTCGGCCGAGCTCCTCCCCTGGAGCTCGTGGTGTGCCGCCAACAAATGAAGCGCCCAGCAGTTTATACTAAGCCGCCTCCGAAGACTGTCCATTTTCCTATAAGGAGCCTTATTTCATGTCCGAAATGCACTCGAAGGGTTTGACATTCCCTGCCGGGGTTGCGCATGCAATTCGAATATTTTATTTTCGATAATTTTGAAGGTTTGTCGAACCAGAACTCGAACCTCCAGCCTAGCAAATGGTAGTACGCACTGCTAACCACTCGGTTATTGCGGGCGTCTGTGGATTTAAACTGGTTAAAAGATAATAAAAAGATACAATTCGATCATACATACGAGTACATACTTACTTTCATATGTAAGTATGGGTGCATGCAAGTATTTTCACATGAATATATATATGAATGTATGTTTATAAAAATTTAAAATACATAAGTGGCAATAGTTTACTTACCCACATATAATCGTATTTATGTAACCTATTTAAAATTGTTGAGCTATTTACTGCATTTTTTCGTTTTCTTATTTCTTTAACCTTACCGTTAAAATTTTATTTCGATTTTTAATGCCGTTTTATTGTGTTTGTATTTTATTTTTTATTATTATTATTATTATTACTTTTTTTTTTTACTAAACGCTTTAAACCATTTGATGCTATGTTGTGTTGTTGTATTTCGAATAGTGAATATTCAAAAGTTTAGGCGTCATTTTAACCGTAAACTTATAAGGAGTTGGACGCGCACAATTCGTACGCGGCAGTAATTTCGATAAAGACGCCAAGCTGTAATAGTTAAGTGATTCCAAAAGATGCTGACATACATATATGTATGCACACACACACCCATGGTGGCGCGTCTTTTAATAATCTTTTCTTTGATCAATTTGGCTAAAAGTGAGGAATTCGGTTCAACTACTCGTACAACCACTCGCACAACCACCGACATTATACTCAGTGATATACGCAATGCTTTTAAAACCGTTACAAATAATACGAACTTAATTAATCAAATTATACCTGAAATGTATCAGCCTGTAATGGAAAAATCGAAATTTACTTTTTCATTTGAAATACCGGACTCAAATGGCAAAAACGGTTACTCCATGTGGATGATGGATCGTAGTGAATTGATTGATCCAACATTTCCTAACCTCACTTTAGAGTACATGAGTGCACAGTTACACAAAAATCGTGTAACTTCTGAAGAGAGTATAGCGCTGGAAACCGAATCGGGACACAATGCTCAACTGCAGGCAAATACGTGGAGCGCTTTAGGTTTGGACGGTTGGTCAGGTGCTGTTGCTCCAGTACAAGGTGATGCGGATACGAGTGACACTTATCCCACTAGTGATATTCTTATGGACTTAGAAAATGCAGATACGGAAAATGCTGTAGATGATGAAAATATGTATATTGCACGAGTTAATGATCCTTTTGGTACATCGGTGAAATGGCAATTGCGGTGAGTTATAGAAAAAGCATGAAATTTTAGTTTTGAACTTGAAAAAAAAAACATAAACAGAATTTCTCATGGGAACATTGATCAAGTTTTTACGAGAAAACGTTTTTATACTTGCGGAATGAGTGCTGCAGGGAGGTGATTAGGCTCATTGGGTTCGGAAAATATTTGGAGACTCATAATTACTATAAATACAGGGTTTCATTGTTATTAGGCAATTAGTTTTTGAGCTATCACCCATCAAGCTACATAAGTAATTGGGAATGAAAAGTGAAATATAGAAAAAAGTCGAATATCGTGCAGTTACGAAGTTGTGACCATAATGAATGGGATGTTTTTGATCTTGTCCGCAAAGAACCATGATGCACAGTGGCATAGCGTATTTAAAAAAAGGAATGTAAATACTTTGAAGACAACCCGAGGCTGGGCAGTAGCAACGAGCTAACCACGCCAAAGCTATTCGAAAGACTTGTCCTCGACCAGATATGAAACAACTCGCAGTAATGGTTGGGGTATCCGACACAACCATTTTTAAAATCCTGACTAAGGTCAACACAAGATGAATGCCCAGAACGTTCACGGAGAAACGACCGACAACAAGCGCAGCGTGCGTTGGCTGCCCTGCATAAGGTGGATCTCGATATTTTGAATCCCCCACTTTACAGCCCAGACCTGGCCTTATCTGTTTTCAAAAATGAAAAAAGAGCTGTGCTAAAAAATTTATAAATAAATTTAAAATAATTTATAAAAAAGTGTTACAGTGATCGGATTTAGTTAAAATATGCGCCGTTTTGTTCGATGATCTGTTTCCATCTAGACGGCAACTTCATAATACCTTCCTCGTAGAAGCCCCCCTCCTTATTTGCGAAGAATTCGGACAGCCACTTTTCACAAGCCTCTTTTGAGTTCAACTTCACACCACCAAGGGCATTCGCCATGGACAGGAACAGGTGGTAATCACTTGGCGCTACGTCCGGGCTATATGGTGGATGCGATAAAACCTCCCATCCGAGCTCCCGTAGCTTCTGACGAGTCATCAACGAAGTGTGTGGTCTGGCGTTGTCCTGGTGGAACACTACACCCTTCCTGTTGGCCAATTCTGGACGCTTCTGGTCGATCGCCTGCTTCAAGCGGTCCAGTTGTTCACAGTAGATGGTAGAATTAAGCGTCTGGCCATATGGGAGCAGCTCATAGTGGATAATTCCCTTCCAATCCCACCAAATACACAGCAAAACTTTCCTGGCCCTCAATCCCGGCTTGGCCACTGTTTGGGACGATTCACCGGCCTTCGATCACGACCGTTTTCCCTTGATATTGTCGTATGTGATCCATTTTTCGTCGCCAGTCACCATCCGCAAGAATGGGTCGAGTTCGTTCCGTTTCAGCAGCATATCGGTCCAGAAGGTTTTTTTGCGTCAGATTATGCTGCACCCAAACATCAAACTTTTTTTGTATCCAGCCTTCTGCAGATGGTTCAAAATGGTTTGGTGACTAACTCCCATCTCCTGGGCGATGTCACGAGATGCCATATGCCGGTCTAACTCGATGTATTCCATGACTTGATCGGTATTTGTCGTCACAGGTCTTCCGCCGGCTGGCTTATCCATGGTGTCGTTTTCACCAGCTCTGAATCGTCGAAACCATTCCTCCGCGGTTCGAAGTGATAGAGTACCATCCCCCAAAACACCATTAATCTCACGGAACGTTTCTCTAGTGGATTTGCCTTTAACGAAGGAAAACTTTAAAATAGCGCGAATTTCGGCGTTAGTGAACTCCATGTTACACGTCTATAACTGTTGAACGCAATATCTAAACTAATCATGCATAGCGTTGTTTTGTAGGTTATGTCAAGACCTTTCAAATTATGTATAGTGTTGCCAGATACGAGCTCTGTAGCGCTTTGTACATAGCCGCGAAATTCAAAAGACAAAAAAGCGGAAGGGAGATATTTGACAACCAATAGTATAGGGGTTAAGTTTTTGGGAAATGTTTGAATTGAGTGAATAATTTTTCCTGTTTCGGAGGGTGTTTTAAGTTCGCTTAGAATTATTAAGGAAAGTTAGATACAATTTTTTTAGAGAAAATCTTAAATCTTCGTATTAACGTGGGAATTTATTCCTTTTGTCTATATTTAAATATTTTTTTCTTCAAAATATCCGTTTTTTCGGTTCCTTTAATCACCATTGAAAAACTTCTCTTTTTACCTTTTATTGCAGAAATTCAACTGATCGGACGAAGCGCGATGTACTCACTCTATATTCAATGATTCAATGTTCGACCGGTTGTCAGCCTATCATATACAAAGGTTATGGCTGTTATTGTGGCTTTTCAGGAGCAGGCATTCCAGCTGATGGCATCGATCGCTGTTGTAAAATGCACGACAAATGCTATGAATACAGCAATTGTATATCCTATTTGGAATACTTTGTACCGTATATTTGGAAATGTTATCGTCACAAACCATTATGTGCTATAGATCACGGTGAATTCGGTGGTCCAGGTTCTTGCGCTGCGCGTCTCTGTCAATGTGATTTGAAATTGTCGCGCTGCTTACGGCGATTTACTTGCCCGCGTCGTAGAGCAGTATGCTTTAGTTCGAGAGCTCGTCGTTTGCAGAACTTTTTGCTTACATTTTAACAATATACTACATACGTTTATTTGAAAGTAAGGAAAAGCAACAAAATATGAGTACTAGGATTACCGAAATTAAATGGAACTATATATATTTTTATTTATTTGCATTTATCCATTGGATTTAATTTATGATATTTAGGTTAAGATGATACGTTGGCTTTTCCTCGAGCCACTCTTTCTTGAGCTGGTTCCACTTGTATTTGACGACTTGTTGACTTCTTTGTTGTCCTTACTCTGTGCCACAATCTCTGTACTATTGGTATTTACCACAAACTCGCGAATACCTTGACATTCTTGCATAAATGCACTTGCCGCATTGAATCCGGTTGAGTTTTGTTTAAATAACATCAGACCGTTCTGACACATCAGCAAAATATCGCGTTGTAGTTCGCTAACATTACGTATGGTGCCCGCTTCAATTTGTTTCCTAATGGAGAGCATATCCATCGGCCGCAAGCAAATCTCATCGAATTGTAGATCTTCGTGAAAGCAACGTTGTAGCGTACTTGCATTTTTACTGTATTGAAGTGCATGAAATATGCTCAATAAGGACTTTTTGGAAATACGAGTTTCTGTTTCATCACGTTCGCGATCACTAGAAGCAGGTGAATTTGGTATGCTATCATTGACAGGTGTTGATGAGTAACGACGACGCAGTCTTTGACTGTTTAAATTATCAATAACCGAGGTAATGGCGCTACTATTTGCTGGGTGCAAGTCAGCATCGATCATAGGACTTTCAGATCGATCGCGATCGCGTAATTTTCTTAGCATCGGCTGGCGCGCTTGAGTAACTGATGAAGAGGAGGATGAGGAAAATTGTGTAGTCGACTCATCGTCAGTTTTGTTTTGCTGATCTTGACGTGGTGTCTCGTGGAGACTTTTACGCGGTTGGGGCGCACTATGTTTAATGGAGGAAGTTCCCAATTTATCATCTTTCCGTGTTACGATACTAACATCAGTAGTGGATGAGTCCTCGTCCGTATCTGCTATAGATATTATGGGTGGAAGAGGTGCGACAGCTTCGTGGCTGGTGAATATTTTATCTGCTTCTGTTGTTTCATCATGATGATCAGCAGAATGTCTTGATTCATCTTCAAAAAGAAAAAACACATTTGGTATTAAATAATTCTTATAAATTCTATAGTCAAAATGATATTACCTATAATAGCATCTATTTCAGTTTCCAAATCCTTTTTGATTTTCGCTGCCTCTTCATCTACAGTGGATTTCTCATTGGTTTCCTTCACTTTATCCCCATTGGAATCATCATCATCGGTTGGTATTACTATAACATCAGAACATTCACTTATTAATGGTGACTTTCCGTCTTCTCCTAGGTTTTTTGGGTCATCCATTTCACTTGCGCCCACTAAGTCGGCCAATTGCTTCTCTAACTTATCATGTTCCTTTTCTTCATCGAAGGAATTTGGGTTGTTGTCATCTTGGCCTTTATTGGATTCATTACTTTCTCCGTTGCGCTCGTTTTTTAAAGATGTATCTACTACCTTCTCCTTTTCCTGTGCTGCTCTCTGTTCTATTGAAGCTACAGCTGCTAATGGTATGTTATCATTTGAGTCGTCACTTGATGTTGTTTCTATTTTTCGAGATCTGTTATCACCGCTATTCGCAGTTGTGCTATTCGCTTCTACAGGAGTTGTTCCCACTCCTTCACTATCTGTCTTACTATTTGCTTTTTCATTAATCTCAATGTTATCCGCATCGCTGTCTTTGATAAAGTCATTTGTTGTAACTAAATTGTTTTCAACTAGATCTTCCTTATTTTCAAATTCTGTCACATCTGTCATCTCTGGTGGCGAATCTGCACCCATGTCTTTAAGAAAATCTACTTCTTCATCGTCTATAACTGCAGACACATCTATATCCAATTCATCAATGTTTCCAATATTCTTAAAAACTTCCATCAGTTGTTGCTCCTCGTTAGGATCGGGATCATCAGAATCATTTACAATGGCTTTATTTAAATCTGTATCATTAACATGCGAGGAGATCTCGTCATCAAGTTCCATCGGAATTTCATCATTGTTAGAATCAGATACATTTGATATTACTGGCATTTGAGTTTGACCAACGATTTCGAAGTCTTTATGGGATAAGCCTTCACCCTGATTTTCGATGTTTGTTGTTGCATTTGCAGAAGCCTTATTTTTTTCCAACAACATTGAAAGAGTTGGAGCAGCCTGAGAAGGGCTTAATAAATTTTGTTGTGCAATACTTGAAGCCGGAACAGATGCTACTGACGGCGGGCCACTTATTGGACTCGTTAACAATTGTGCAGCTTTTTGTGGTGGTATATTGGCTTTCAAAGTAATAAGTGGTTGGTTTTTATTGGGAATAGATCCAGACGTCAAGAGAGTGGTAATTGTAGGTGCTGATGATCGTGTAAAATTATTCGCTGAGCCAGATGTATTATTTGTGGAAACTGTTGTTGTTACATTAGCATTAGATGTAGGAGTTTTCAGAAGAGAAGATAATAAAGGTGAAGTACCTGTTTGGGCCGTGGACTGCTTTTGCTGAGAATGGCTATTGGAATTATTTATAGATTGTCCAGAAGGGCTTGATCCACCAACTATGTCTTCTATATCCATATCCAACGTTGCAGTATCAGTGGCGTTTGCCGGTGCTGTTGAAGGTATAGGCGGCGTAGCAGGTGTCAGGGTACGCCAATTACGTTGAAATTCCATTCTTTGTTGTTCCCTTTCACGCATTTGATTTTCGATTTTCATTTCCTCGACACGCTCCTGTTCCTGTTGTAATTCAATATTCCCCAACATTTCACGAAGCTCATTTTCACTTAGTGTTCCCGACTGCAAAGCTTTTAAATCTTTATAAATAAGTGCAAATTCTTCTTGACCTCGGCGAATTTCTGCTTTTATTTCCTGCACCCGCTCTTCATTTAAGCGACGTAGTACTAAATCGGTTGGTGTCTCTACCACAGCAGGCGAGGATATTCCACTTGCACTTTCACTTGTACGCTTTTTACGTTTTGGAGTTTCAACATTTTCAAGCAAGTGACCATATTGCACTGCACAATTCTTTTGAGAGTACCAGTCTGCCGGTCGGTTTGTGGTGCCATTTCCACAAACAAGTTTCAGAGTACGACTTACCGTCATCCAATTCTGATCGCCGCTGCATGACACTGCCGAAGCCAAACAAAGTTGTTCCCTTGTTGTCCACTTATCCAATGGTAATCGATTCAAAGGCAGACGCTCTTGTGCAGAAGACGCCATTATTATTATATTTTATTAACTTATTTTAAACAAACAATCCAATTTTTTTCTACAAAACAAAATAGTTGTAAAATTCTTCTTCTTTTGCGAGGAACCATTCGCAATCAATGTGAATACGATTGCAATTCGATAATCTTCAATGTGAATACGATTGCAAATTCGATCATCTTCGATTCAAAAACATCGTTAATTTCTCTTTCACAATTTCAATTAATGTAAGATTGGTTAGGTTAAGCTGGCTGTCCCATTGGGTCTCGCAGACACGAAATACATCCATAGCGTTGCTAGCAAACTACATGTGACCAAGCTGTACTACTACACTTCTATTATGTCTCCAGTGTGAAGAACACTGCTGTTCGCGAATTTAAGTAGTCGATCTGGCCCCTTGACCATTGGCAATTCAAAATTTCGTAGCCCTTTTGCGCCAAGTGTGCATAGCCTTTGTCTACCGAATGACTATGCGCAATCAAAGCAAATTCATATTTATTATATTTAGAGTGTAGTTGCTTAAAATGGCATGAATAGTAATAGCCTGAGTCTCGACAACTACGAATCTAGTTTCTTATATTATCCAAACATTAATTGCGCAATGACCTCAACCGTTAGCTAGACTTTAACAAGTTTAGAGAGAAATGTTTGCGCCGAGGCAAGGCTGTACGATCTATGCAGCGACATTGACATAGTTCAGCGATCTGAGATCTAACCGGCAACCGGCCTCAGATGATAGAAGCAGTGAAGTGAAAGAGCTTCACTTCCTGAGATAATCCAGGTGAATGAGAGCTGATGAATGTACATAAATGATATCAAACATAATGTTAGACGCTAAGGACGAATAGGCGTCAGCATATGAATTCAGTGAAATATCCTTAGAAATTTAAGATAGTCCATAAATATATAATAGCGTTTAACTCCCTAGCGCTGGGAAGGAGTGAGTGAATGTTGAGAGCAGTAAGACTTTTAGTTTTTTCGCTACTTCAGAAAGGAGAGATAGCCGTATGCATTACTTGCTGGTCTGCCAGGTATCATAACTTTTGTCACACCCGATAGATTTCTATTACTCAGCCTTCTAGACTAGACCCTGCGTGTTAACAAACAACCTCAAAAACCTGCTTTGGTGTGGGCTACTTGACTTCTTTGTGTCCTTCATAATCACTGAATAGAATTCCCGCCCGATATAGACTTTGATGTTTAGCTTGTTTAGCAATAAACTGATCCGCCTTTTAAGCGGCTGTCGAATCCCAAAGTTGAATCCACACAAGAGGAATATTCACAATTCGTAAAAAAAAATATGAAATGGATAGTAACAGTCTGGAGGACTTGACATTCCTACGAGGGTATTTTGTCTTTTCACGGTAAATTCTGTGAATCCCTTCCACTTATCTTTATTGTTGAAACCTTGCCAATCGATACATATATGTATGTGCAAATTGTGTACTTTAAGAGTAAGCAGAGATTACAAAGTTAAACTTGGTTTCAGACCAGCGTTAGAAATTGAAGGTTAGGAGCTTTTTCTAAAGTTATTTTTACTTGTCTCGAGTGTGAAGTGCAAGCATGGAGTTGTAACGCTGCTTGTAATCTGAAAGCTTCCACTTTTTCAAATAATTCTATTTTATAATGTCTTTTCCCTCAATCTCCAGATTGTGTGTTATATACTAAGTGCATTCATATGTACATACACGTAAGATTATATAAGCAATATCAAACTGTTGACACTTTCTCTGTTTGTTTAGTTAGGCTGCAACTACCCAACTCACTCTCCAGCCGTCCATACTTGACGACGTTAGTAGTGAAATACATACACGAGCTATCGACGCCGCTGAGAGCGGCGAAATGTTGCCAGCTGCCTGTGTGTTTGCACACTTTTGAACAAATTCATAATTTTCGTCAACGAATTTCATAATTTATTTGCTTTAACATAAACACAAGGCAAATATACATAATCTATATGGTAACAAATAATTAGTTACGCATTTATTTTTCATTTCTTTTGAACAAAACTACGCATTATTTTCGATTATTTAATGTTACTTTAAGAAAGGCTATACTGGCAACCTTGTATAGCAACGAAAAATGAGCCGAGCCGGTTTTACGGAAAAATCAAAACTTCGTTGGTTTCTGCGACACAAACGTCAGCAACGCTATGGTAAATCGGTGACAACTTTGTGTTTACATGGTGCTCTCATAAGATAGGTTACTATGGACGGCTGGTACGCTCGTTGGGTAGTTGCAGCCTTAAAAACAACAAAAACATTCACAGTTCACAGTTTTTGTATGATTTGCAGCTGCAGATAGTACATAGATAATTAAAAAAAAATTGTAAAAAAACAGCATGCGCCAAGTGTCGAGATTTGGATCGAATTTGGAAATTTTCCATATGTTATATGCACATACCATGTACTGATGATATATATATATATGTATATAATTATTTTGGTGGCTAAAGATACTTTCTAGTGTATTTAACCTAGTGAGGAACTGCTAAATTAAGGCAAACGGACTATATCAGTTGAAAAAAGAACTAATTGAGTAGGTAGTGGCGTGGAGTGGGCAATGTCAGGTTTATTTTCTAAGGTTTTTGCATAGAAGATTCTACCCTTCCTCAATGAACTCAGCAATCTAACCTCATCTTGACTCATTACTGAACTATGAACTTGGATGTCTAAAGTCATACACATTAAGTGGACGAACGTACATACTCGTACAAGCAGATAAACATGACTGAATGAATCGACATTGTGCCACATGCGAGATCAGGACATTAGAAATTTACCTTTCCAACGAATTGATGCTGACGTAGGAAAAGCGCTTGATTGACTTAGTCTCAACTAGAAAGTTTGCTTTTAAAGTAGGGTCCATCTTTCGGTGAGAACAGCTCAAGTTAAGAATTTAAATATTTAGTAAAGATTTAAGTTGGTTTTTAAGTTATTTAATTTAATTTATTTTTTTGGATATATATATATTAAATATGTATATATATAGATATAACTAGAGATTTGTTTCTGCCAACCTCCTCCTCGATATGCCTTTCGATATTTTCCAACAAATGGAGAGACCTACAGTTTATACTCAGCCGCTTCCGAACGGCTAAAGGTTTTTTATGAGGAGTTTTTATTTCATGTCAGAATTATACTGGAAGGGCTTGAGATTCCCTGCCGCAACTAGAAAATTTAACATTATTTTTTATTTAAAATAATTTTCTATAATTTTTGGATGTTGGTCGGACCAGAACTCGAATCGTGGTCTCCCGAATAGCAGTGCGCAATGTTAGCCACTTGGTCATCGCGACCACTCTTATAAAGTATAGAATGTAGAAATATTTATTACAGTGTATTTTCACGAAAACTATGCCCTAAAAACCTACCTAAATATTTCTTTGCAGGTAATGTGTTTTTTTTTTTGTGTGAGGTGCTGCAATCACCAAGAACTGGCCTTGGGAAAAGCAGCTTTCTCTCAAGTCTACTTCAGCTATCTTAAGTATTTGGCCATAAGTTTTGTTTAAGGTTATTGCTAAGTATACTTTGAATGGAAACTGCTGCCCTTGGTTACATTTCGACTCAATACTTTTACAGGTAATCTGTACCAAATTTTGTATACATAAATCCAGCGATAAATACAAATTTTTCGAATAGATCGGTTCTAGGTCCACCTTCTTACCCGGTGCATACGTATTACGCAGAGCACCAAGCATCTCCAAGTTTCAGATCTCTAAGATCAGTTATTTAGGGTGTGGGTTGATCCGTCAATCGTTTAGCATAAGACCTTTTATTGACGAGTGCATAAGTTCGTGACCGATTTCAAGTGCAAACTAAAATTGAAATTTTTTGAAGAAAGCGCTTTTATTAATCACTTATATATTCGCTATCATGTTCGGCAATCCACCCCCAACGTTCAACCAATTTACGGATGCCTGATTCATAGAAATCGCGCGGTTTCTCGTTGAAAAAGGTGTCAAGGTAATTTTTGACGTCTTCCACATTTTTAAATTTTTTTTTCCATTCAAATTGTTCTGCAGCGATCGAAACAAATGATAATCAGAAGATGCAATGTCGGATGAATATGGGGGATGCGGCATGATTTCCTAATTCATCTCCTTCAGTTTGACCAGGGTCGGTTTTGCAACATGTGACCTGGCGTTGTCATGATGGAAAAGAACTCCTTTGCGATTGGCCAAAATCGGACGTTTTTCATCAATTGCTTTCTTCAATTCGATCAATTGCTGACAATACTTGTTGGTAGTGATCGTTTCTCCAGCTGGCAAGAGTTCAAAATAGATCACGCCTCGGATATCCCACCAAATGCACAGCAGTACCTTCATCGGTTGCAATCCACCTTTCGACATCGGTTCCGCCCCTTCGTGTGCCTGTTTCCATGTTCTTTTGCGTTGAACATTGTTGTACAGGATCCATTTTTCATCACCAGTCACGAGCCGATCCAAAAAAGGTTCGTTTTTGATCCGTCGAAGCAAAGAAATTGCTGTTGACATACGGTCCACTTTGTTTTTTTCACTCAACTGATGTGGCACCCATGTATCGAGCTTCAAAGTGTACCCAACCTTTTTTAAACGACGAAACGCAGTTGATTTGTTGACGTTCAATTCGCTGGCAACCTCTTCCGTCGAAATACGTGAGTTATTTGCAACTAAAGTCCTTAGAACATCGTCATCAAGCTCAGAAGGCCGTCCACTGCGAGGTTGATCTTCGAGGTTAAAATCTCCAGAACGATATTTCGCGAACCATTTCTTTACTGTGCGGAGTGCTGGAGCACGGTCCAAATAAACTTCGCGAATAGCTTTAGTTGCAGCGCCTACTGTTTTTCCTTTGCGGAATTCGTATAACATAATATGACGCATATGATCTTTTTCGTTGTCCATCTTCCATGCGTCTTTTCACTAAGCAACTCAAATCGAAATGAAGTTATTTTATGCTTGATTTACAGTTCGGACTGTCACCTTTCCAACGCTATATAATATGTATATATTTCTTTCACGAGCGCCACTCTCAAACGATTCGAACGGCATCCAGCGGAATCGGGCACGAACTTATGCACTCACAATATATTGTACAACAGATAACAAACGTATTACCTGGAAAAATTTTTTTTTTTATACGGAATTCATTTATTTACTGGATCTGCTATAATATAATATAAGCCTAACAGTAAGTACAAATCTTAAAAACTAAATTACAAACATGATAGCTCGAGTCATTTTACTCTGAGCCCTTTTCCAACTACGGCGCTTTCCTTAGAAGGCGGGAACATCTCTTCACTGCAGGCGGGAATTTGTCGATGGGTCGCATAAAGCATTAGCTAGCGGATTTGGATGACTTCTTAGCTTCGTGAAGTACTTCTTCCTTCCTGCTTCTTTCAATTTCAGGCTTAACCTGTAAAATACCAAGGACTTAATGAATGTTAACTTTACGAACGTACCATGGTGCGCCCGTTAGTGTTCTTAAAATTTTGGACCGGCATAAAATAGCTGTGTCATCCGCAAAGGTAGATGTCTGCATTTTTCGGTTTAATGGGATGTCTGCGGTGTATATATGGGCCCGAGGACGCTTCCCTGCGGAACACCAGCTTTTACCGGATACTCTTCACTGTCTGTTAGTCAGATATGACTAAGTATCATATAAAATTGAATGTATTTTGTACAGTAAACCTTTCTGCCAGACTTTGTCGAACGCTTCGTTGCTACGTCAAGAAATATTGCACAACAGTACTCCTCGAGGGCGAATGCCTTTCTGATTTCATTAGTTATTCGGTTAACTTGTTCGATAGTCCTATGCTTTTCACGAAAGCCGAATTGGTGATCTGGTATCACATTGTTACGGTGGAGAAAAGGAAATAGTTTTGATAGCAGAATTTTTTCAAATAATTTGGAAAGACTGGGTAGTAGGCTTATTGGGCATTAAAGAGTTCAGAAAGCAATGCTTGTGCAACTCTTGGTAGCTCTATTAGTATTTTTGCTGCAATGAGGTCGTGACCTGGAGATTTCTTTGGATTCAGTTTCTGTATCGCGTTTACCACTTCTTGGCTGGATATTTCAATTGCCACCTGATTTTCCTGGCCGTTAACAGCAAATTCCGGCAGAATAAAATTATTAGTTGCGTCATTTGGCTGGAATACATTACTTAAATGCTTTGCAAAGCAATTTGCCTTTTCTTCGTTACTACGTGTCCAGTTACCATTTGGGTCCCTGATTGGCATATTCATTTCTATTGGAGACTTAATTTCCAGAGAGAGTATTTTTGGCAGCATTTGGCGCTAGTTTTTCTGTGTATGTCTTTGGCGTTGTGATCTTCAGCTTGTTTCAGTGCACTTTTCAGATTCCTCTCTGCAGCTTTCAACCGTAACTTTGCTGCTGGAGAGCGATATTCTTGCCATATTCTCCGCAAACGGCGCTTATTCTTTACTAGTTTTTCTATTTCTGTATTTGTTAGAATTTTTGGGCACGTAGTAGGCTTTTTACTTTTTGGAGTTGCTATGGTTGCCGCAGAAACAAGGACATTATTTAGCTCATTCATGTAGTCGAATCGTTTTCACAATTCAATATTGGATTGATGTCAATATGACTACTAGTATATTTTTTGTATTTTAACCAGTTGGTTTCGCTGTTTGTTAGTCTTGATTCTTGTGCAACTATCTTCGGGCGCTCGTAAATTTTTATTAGAACTGGTGAGGTGTCTGAAGACAACTCAGCAACTGTCACAGCTGATACAAATTGCCTCTCGATTTTTCTTGAGACAGCAAAGTCTATTAAGTCAGGTATTTTCTTCCGATCGGTAGGCCAGTATGTTGGTTGACCTGGGTAAACACAATCCAAATTGTTACATTGATTTATAATGGTACTGTATAGCTGACGGCCTTTGCGGTTTATTAGACGAGATCCCCAGTATACATGCTTTGCATTACATTCTCCTCCTGCTATAAATCTATCATCAAGATTATCAAAAAATTCCTTAAATTTATTTCTGTGATCTTAAATTTTGGAGGGCAATAAATGGCTGAGAGATTTAACTCTTTACCGAGATTATTCAAGGTTAAAGAGGTAGCTTGTCGATAATTGGTGGCGTAGGGCTGTAAAACGCAGTGTTTAAGGTGGTTTCTTAGAAGTATTCCAGTGCCGCCGTGCGCTTTGCCATCAGGAAAAATGTGAGGGGAGGAAAGCCAAATCCGGTGGGCGTAATGTCACTCACTTTGATACTTTTAATTTCCGTGATCTAAGATGAATATTAAGTGAATATTTGCTTAATCGTACAACATCGAAACTTTTGTCTCATTTTTTTTTTTAATAAGGACTAAAGTCTCACCAGAAGTCTTATAGGACCACATACAGAGGTGATCTAGTGACTTATGACCAGAGTATAATGAATTTATGGAGGGAACACTTCTCCAGCCTGCTGAATGGCAATGAAAATAGAACACCACGAGATGGCGAACCCTATTTCCCAGTGGATGACGATGAAAAAGATGCACCATTGCCGGACGATGAAGAATTTCGAACAGCAATCACCCGCTTTAAAAACAACAAAGCAGCGGGAACCGATAGACTGCCGGCCGACCTAGTTAAATACGACGGTGAAGAACTAATAAGGTGCATGCGTCAGCTGCTTTGCAAAATATAGTCGGATGAAAGCACATTCGATGATGGGAACATAAAGGTACTCTGCTCAATCTGCAAATTAATTGGATCCTCTCAGTGTAGCTTAGTAAACCATTGAATAGTTAATCCCCCATGTGTCAAATCTTGGAACACACTCGCTAAAGGAGGATCGACACACCCCATATCTTCGTCGATTTTAATTCAACCTTCCTCTGCTTAGAACATTTTCGATGTAGCAGAGGAAAAGAAAGGCCAGAAAGGTGGAGAAAGAAATGGCTGTACTTGGTACTTACAAAAGACGACAAACAGCGACAGAAGAGAATGTATGGTGCGCTTTAGTAAAGAAGAAGAAGAAAGTCGTACCAAACATAGCTGGCTTAAGTCCAGAAATAGACCTATTTCACATAAAACAGATCTTTTATTTTTGACAACCCATTTTATGGGCATTTTAAGCATAATGTTTTAGGCGTCCATATCACCTTAAAATTGACCGGTTCTAAGTTTTTGAGCAGACGACAGCCTCAGTGCCCCTTGTGGTAGCCTCGGTACGGAAGGAGATCTGCTAAAAGCAAAATCGGCACCCACATATAAGAGATGCGTGCCGGTACGTATGTGCTTATGTATGTATGCTTGTAGAAAGACGCCCGACTACAAAAATTAACATATTCTATGTAACGCATATCGTCATATCATCAAAGCCGTCATCTATACGCAACCAAATCAAATTAAGCCCGCAATAAACAGATGACAAATGTTGATAAATGAATTGCTTAGGAAGTGGTTTAATATGCACTTAAAGAAGTATATATACATATGAGTGTATATATATGTTACTATGTTTACTTCTATCGAGCCCATAATCATATCTTTATTACGCATTTTCATTGCGGCGCATCTCCCACTGCCACAATGCACTTGAATTCTTGTTTGCCACTTCCTTTTCGCTTCGCATTGTGGAAAGCAAAACAAAGTGCTAAAGTGTCTTGTCACAACATATCATAACATAAATTATGACCGGAATTGACTACAAGTGCATTCATTTGTACGCTTATAATAATACATGAGACATAGCGACCACACATCAGTAGATTGTGTCATAAGTGGAAAACCATATGGACTGTTAAATATGTATTTTAGCCATATATAAACATACATACATACATATGTAAGCAAGCATATATTTATTCAAATTATTAAGTCATAATCTGTCGTATTTATGACTTGACAGCCAATCATCGTTCAGCTATATATATATGCATATCGCATCAACCAATCAGATGTCAGCACCATTACTGTATAGCAGCAGACACAATAAAGAGTGATCGCACCCAATGTTATATGAAAACTTCTACAATTTTCTAAAATCAATTTTAGTTACAGTTTGATTGCCGGAAAATTAAGATTTCGTAATGAGCATTACTAATTCTTTAGTGTCGCGTTCATTCCTTCACAATGATTTACTATCGATGGATATGGAAACATTTTGCAATTGCAGTGGTTATAATTTTGATATTACAACAACATACTCTAATTACTATAGTCAAAATAAGAAAATTCAAAGTTCTATTAATATTCGAAATGGTTTTGAAGGTCTCAATGAAAACTATTCGCTCTTCGCAAACAACGTGACAGAACCGAAAAATTCGTTGGTATGGAATTATGATAATTACACACCGGATCCACCAGCAGTATGTGGCGTGCAAAATTCTAATGCAAAACATTGCGAGTTTAAAAAACTCAATGAGAGTATTGCGAGTGTTGAATGGAATTCCTCACCACACAATTTGACATCGGACAACAAAAATTATAAATTTCAATTATTAACAAATTCAAAAGGCAATAATTTAGACTCTCCTTTGGCGACGGATATTAGTGGTAAGAAACCCAACAATTGGTTTATTTAATGATGAGTTTTGTGTGTTAAAAGACATGTTTTTAATAAAGTTAGCATTTCTATATATACGTTAAATTAGGCAGATAGATATGAGGAGGATGTCGAGCATTGGTTTATAGTGCCCTCTGATTCTTATCACATTATAACTGTCAGCCCTCAGCCTCTAAAAAATCTTAACAAGCTTTAAGAATTGAATATTATAATATAATTCTGCAACGACTGCATGGTGCCGAGGGTTTTAAGGGTCACATAAAAAGGTGGTTTTTAGGAATTTTTCTTAAAAAAAAAATACTTTATCAATTATCTCAAAATTTTAAGAATATATTTGTTCATCTTTCAAGAATATACAGTGAAAATAATAAAAATTAAATATTTTTTAAGTTATAGTTGATTTCCAACGGCGCGAAAAAAAGGTCCTTCACTGCTACAGTGATTCCGGTCATCTAAAATATGAAATCTAAAAAAAAAATCTAGATAAGATAATATTGTCTGTACAGTGACCTACGTTAAAAAATAAATCAAAAATTGAGAATATGGCGGCGTTTTTAAAAAAATTGCAAAATTTTACTCAAAATTTTGGTCGTTTTTGACCTGCCAGAACATGGAAAAAAAATTCGTTAGTGATCGGATCATTTGTTTTTGAGTAATCACTGCAGCAAATTCGGAAAATGCTGTTTGGAGAAAAACGCGTTTAAAGATGAAATGATCAGGTACGTCTCGTAGCTAATGAGACTCTCTAGCTGCCGGGCGGCTGCTCTTTAAATTGCTATAACTCAAAAACCATTTGAGATATCGATTTGAAGTTTTAATATGTTATTTTTAAAGGTGTCTTTTTTTGAAATTTCACACTAGGTGTGCCCCTTAAGCTTCTTCTAACAACAGATTTGCACTCCCACAATATGTGAGTTGATGTTTCTGGTTTTAACTCGTAAAAACCGCATATCCCTTCTGCGCTGATGCCAATTTTATTCATCTGCTGGTAACTTTACAATTTTTTAATAATTTCCTTGAGTCTCCTAATACTCCCTCATTCATATTAGTCATTTATTAGTTGTTTGGATTGTTCAATCTCAGTTTTGTGTATGTATTTATCTCATATTTTCTTTTCTTCAATTCTTGGTTTTTCTTTTATAATATGCATGTCTCTGGGAAAGAGGCGCTCTGGTCGTGTAGACAAACTTTAAACGGCATTATGCGGCAACACCCTATTATATTTATCAGCTATTTAGTTATATTTAGCTCCTCTGGTCTCGGAAACCCATTGATCCGAGCTTCATTCTGTTCTTCCACTTCATTTAATTTCTCGATTCATTTCCATGCAAATTACTCTGTGTTGATCTCTTGTACTTCTTTGTAATATTGTTCCAACATGTAGGTAGCAGTCATCCATATTTCATGTCACATGCTTAACAATATTATCCAACTATTTAATTTATTCTTATGTGACATCGGATTTGTTTTAAGACACCCATGGATAAAACATATCAAAAGTCAAATGGCGGAAGGTCTTGTTGAGTGTTTGGTGGGATGACAAGGAATCATCCACAATGAGTCGCTCCACTAAACTCTTACTTCGGGTCTGTACTGTGAGCAATTGGACCGCCTTAAGGAAGGAATTGCCAAGAAGCATCCAGCTTTGGCCGAAATGAGGCGGAAATGTGGACGCGGTTAGATGAACTCGTTACCTGAACCAGTTAGGCGAATATAGCAAGGATCAAATATTCCGGGCTCCAGGGAGCAGATACACTTGAATGGAAAGCGGCAGCACCTATACATCGGGAATTTTACAATTAGAGAAGAGTTAAGACCGGAAAAGTATGTTAGAAGTAGGTATTGGAATAAGATAGCTGACCTTCCGATACTGTAATAAGGAACCATTTATATCGGAACATCTGTTAAAGGAATATGGAGCAGTAGCATACGTTGGGCATGTGTACTACAATATCGAGATCTAAGTTGCGCCAGTATTGAGCGGACAGATCGAGCAATAAGTGATGACTTGACTCCGACAACGTCATTCACTGTAATACAGTTCAGGATAGTGTTAACAGACCCTAAGGGAATTGCGTTTAATGCCTGTCGGCAAACCGTCCTGTCCAGCCGTCGCAGTTGGTAGCTGGTTATAGTTGTTATTATCTTACACCGGGGAGGTCGGAAAGGTCGTCGAGAAAGCACTTCACTTACGAACATGAGGAAGTTTCGAGATATATAAGTTAAACAGCATTGGGAAGAGGATATCATCCTGCGGAACCCCTTGTTTAATCTTTCTGAGTTTGGATATTTGATCTCGAATTTCTACCAATGATTGACGTCCGCTCAATGTGCGATAGTAGCAGTAGTACAACTTTGAAAACTTTTCCCAGCGATCTTTGATATTGTGACTCATTTTCTTGCAGTTATGGGGTTTTCGAAAGTGTTATAAATCCAATCTTCTTGCAGTATTGGAACTCCAGCAATGATCGTCTGCAAAAGTGATCTGCTTTTGTTGTAATCAGCCTGTATAACTCATTAAGCGGTGTTCAGTTGAGTTTTTTGCAAAATTTTTGCCGTTAGAAATATACTTGGCTCACATTTCCTGCCGATGGGCCTACGAAATAGGAAAAAACTTCTTAGAAGTTGGTCTCACCAGGTTTCGAAACCATGACATTATATTAAGGGTTTTTAAAATTAATTTATAATGAGATTGAAGAATGAATTGAAAACTTCTACTTACCATTAATTCCAGATGCCAAATTATGCGGAGTTTCTGTAAGTAGTAATACCCGTAATGTTGGTGCGAATCGAAAAGAAAGAACTGCGTTCACTAAAGATCAAATAAGAGAGTTGGAAGCAGAATTTTTGCATTCAAATTACTTAACACGCCTCAGAAGATACGAGATCGCTGTGGCTTTGGATTTGACAGAACGACAGGTGAGGGCATAATGAAATATCACATACTCAAATATATGTACATACATAATCTTTCAATTATCCTCATTCAAGGTCAAGGTATGGTTTCAAAATAGACGCATGAAATGGAAGCGAATTAAAATGGATTCCCTAGAGCTGCGTAATGTAGATAAAAATAACCAAATATTTATTTAAGATTTTTTAAGTTTTTTTTTGTATTATTATTTTGTATAAAGGGTTTAGATGAAATATATAATTGTGTGTACAGTAAAATTAAACTATTTCTTTAACTTTTGATTTTTAGCCAACTTGGCTTTTAATCCGACCGATTTTCCTTTCTTTGCGGTTTGTGTTTTTAGTAGTTCCTTCGCAGCTTTTACTTGTACAATATTTTTTGCTGGTTTCTTGGAGACAGTTGATTTTTGCGTCTTTTTTGCCTTCTGTATGCCACCTGTCTTTGGCTTGCGTTTAATTAACTTTTCTAGTCGATCAACTTTTTGTGCTTTTAAAGGTTTTCCTTTTTTCGACTTTTTAATCGAAGGGGTATTTTGCTCATCATCAGAATCTTTAGAAAAGCCGTACGTCTCTTCATCAGTACTTTCAAAACTTTCTTCTTCGTCAGAACTATCGTCGTTCTCTGAATTGGCAATGTAATCTTCATCTGCGGAATCTTCGTTTATTGTGTTGCCTAAGAGGTCCTGGAGTTCCAAATTTTTCTTTGTTTTTTTCGTTTCAACAGAATTAGATTTCTTAAAATCGGTTGTAGCTTTAGACTTTTCTTCAATAACATTATCATCCTCGAGTCCAACTCTTTTTGGTTCAATAAGAACTTTCTCAAAATCAATTCCTAAATGTGCGTATTTTTCATTCAGTTTTTTAACTTTCTCCAACTTTTTTAAAGCCCGCTTTTGATAATTTTTGTCTGACCAATTATTCATTTGTTTAACTTTGCGCTGAATTGCCGCTGTTTTGTGGGATACATATATATCTTTACCAGCCTAAAATATGTGGAAATAAATTATTGGTCTCATTCTTTCAATATGAACAGATTTACCTTGTTTTTCACTTTTCGCACTGATGTTCTAAAATAGTTATATAGTTGTTTCTCTGGTGGTATGTATGCAGCTTTAACGACTTTTTTGAACATTAGATAATTGTCCATTGTTTCTGCAGCCACCTCTGCCACTTCGGGATATTCAAATTCCACAAAGGCGTAGCCTTTGCTGCCACCTGTGCGACGCGATCGACCAAGTCGCAATCTAGTTACTGCACCAAACTGTTCGAAGTAATTTTTTAATTGTTCTTCAAAAAATCCATGTGGCAGATGTTTTAAGAAAACCACTCCACGTTTATCTTTCTGCTTTTGTTGCTGTTTCTTTAGCTTTTTATCTAACTGTAAAAAAATAAAACTGTAATAATATTGAAGCAATTCATTTTGGAATTATTTTTTTATCACTCACTAATAAAGTGAAGAAAATTCATATTTGACCACAGAAAAAAATGTAAAAACCAAACTGCCAAGGGATAAGAGCAGCGCAACTTATATTTACCTGACCAGAAACCACGGTATTTGACTCCACAGTTAGTTTCGCAACAGCTCTACTGGATTCTCCAGATTTATTTTTGCGCACTGGAGGCATTTTAAATGTACAAAAATTACAGACCTTGAAATATTCCTATTAGAAACAAAATAACAATAAATTAAGACACACGTGCGGCGAAATATATGTGATTGTTTCGTCAATGAGCTAAGTCACAATAATAAGTTACTGACTGTCATAAAATTTGACAATCAGCTGTCAGCTTTTGAATTATCGTGTATAGCGCAATCAAGCGGTTGATTGTAATGTCAAAGAACGTATATTAATTATTAATAATTTGACAAAATCAAACAGCAGATATTTTAGTTACCTCCTATTTCGCTGGTAACAAAATTTACAGGGTAACAGCGAGCTCAGAATACGAAATAGTAACAAAATTTACTAAATGTCAGTTATCTTTTAAAGCCAGAAAACTTTAACTCCATGCTTACAGAATTGAAATTTTTTTTCTGCTTTTGCATATAATTTATTCAATAATAAATGGGCTTGGAATAGAATAAACTTTTGTTTTATATTCAGGAAATAAAAAGTAGTTCAAAACTACACGTCAATTATCGTCAATCAAATAATTTACAAATCGTTTTATTATTTTGTAACAGTTTTTATTTAATAAGAACTTAATATAAATCAGAACCAAAAATAAAAACCAAAATGAATATTTTATACTTTCTATTAAAGCGGGATTTTAAATATACATTTAGAATTTTCAACACAAAAATTTACTATCGCAGAATTTACAAAAAAAAAATAATTTCGTTAGTTATCAGAAAGGCCAAGAGTTTTTCTATCAGAGTCCTTTATCACTCCTGAAGGAAGATACCGCAACACATCCACTGGTGCATTTTTGAGCATCTCTAAACGCTCATTTTCCACCATTTCAGTCCTGCAAATAAATGTGGTTTCAACTTATTGTTTATATACTGCTTAATAGGATCAACTTACTGCTTTCGTTCCTCATTCAATAGGTATTCATGCCACTTAATATCTTCAGCGGCATCCATAGCTCTTTGACGACGCCGTAATTCTATCATTTCTTGTATAGCTCGACCATGTTCTTTAATCTTTCGTCGACGTTTTTCATCTGCTAACTGATCCAACTTATCACGTTCAGCCAGTTGTTTATGCATTTCTGCAAGGAAGACTGCATCCTCGTTTTGCTCTTGTTCAAGTTTTCTACGTTCTCTTTCCTCCCGATACCGTTCAAATTCCAAACGCATTTGTATACGATCATTCCACTGTTTTTCCAAGTTTTGTTTATATTTGATATCCTCGTTAGTATTACGTTCCTCTACCAGTAAATCAAGCAATAGGTTTTCACGTTTCCGTTTGTCGCTCTATAAATAGGGGAAAATTTTATTATCTAATATTTCAGTATAAAATAAGCAATGTTTAGAATGTATAGCTATTAATACCTCTACTTGGTACAATTGTTGTCCAATTCGATCACTCAACTCTGCTCTCTTTTGAGCTTGCATATCTCTTTCCATCTTAATCTTCAAATTAAGTTCCTCTCGTTCCTTCATCATTTTCTGGAATCTGTCCACTTCATCCATTTTTTGCGTCATCTCGCTTTGTTTCAGCTCCTTCTGCAAGCGTCTGAATTCTTCCATTTCTTTTTTGGCATTTTCCTTTCTCTGTTCTAAATCTAATAATTCTGCTTCATGGTCCGCCTTGTATTTTCGCAACAATTTTTGCATTTCATCCCTTTCCTTTAATACCTCTGTATATTCATCTTTTTTCTTTTGCTGGGAAGCCTCCATCTGACCTAAGAGTATTTTACGAAATTCTTGTTTCTTTTTCGCCTCATTTTTTTCTTGCTCCATTAAGGCTTCTTTACATCGGCGTTGCTCCTTTTCAAATTCTTCATCTTCCAACCTTTTATTTTTCATTTGCTCTTCTTTGAGCTTATCAGTAGCCACCTTCTGCTCAACCAACTGCTTTGATATAAACGCAGCTTTTAGCTGTTTCTCCAACTGCCGTAGTTCCATATTATTCTGACGTAGTTGCTGCCTCCGTTTTTTATCCAGGAATTCTTCAACCTTTTGAGATTTCAGTTCAATTGAGATATCTTTTGTTTGTTGTTGGGCCCGAATTCGAGGATTTTCAGCTGTCATCTGTATTTCCTCCGCCCTCAAATCCTTAACTCGTCGTTCTTGTTCCATAACAGTTTCAATGAAAAGATTGTTGGCTACATCTACCTTTCTATCGGCTTCCGCCGGAATTGTACATCGAAAACCACCAAACATTTTGTGAAAATTAAAATAATCCCTTTTTATTTAACCAATTATTAAAAATATATTTTGCTGTTTCTCCTAGCAACAAATTCTAATTTTTGAAGTGAACATTTGAAATTATTCTCGGCGACATCTGTGGTAAATAAAATGTGTATTCATAACTTCAAAATCATAACTACAAATGACGCGTTCGGCCAAGCGTACGTGTGACAACTTTACAACATACCTTTTCGAATTTTCCCAACTGTATTGCATTTTTCAAACTTTTTATGGTTCGGCTCTGCATAATTTTTTAAGTTTTTGAAGTAAAACAATGAAAAAATGTTGTTATATTTTCGAGGTGCTACCTCGGACAATTTCCACGCAATTTGTTTATAATAATTGAAATTTGCTGTCGATAATTTTTAATTTCGAGGTTCGACCAGCCCGGAACTTGTTTTTGCAGTTTGATTTCGTATAATTCGAGAAGCAAAAGTTTTAGTGTGAAATTCGATTGCATGCAATTTTTTATGCTACGTGGTCTTGAGACTTTTCACTTTGACGTGCGATTTGAAAATAATGAATTGTTACGTCTGGTCGTATCTTTACATTACTGTGTATGGTGATTTACAATTCAGAGCTGTTATTTATTCAAGTTTTATTTTGCTTTCAACTTCGTTTTATTTCTTATCGCTTGTTATTGTTTCTCTGCTTCCGCTTACCAGCGCCTCGTTTTTACAATTTGAACACCCGATGTTCGTGTCGTTAAATTTTCGTTCGTGAATTCATATCGTTTACGTGTTTGATTGAAAGTGGATGTTTGCAAGAAAAATCTAGGCGTGTTTAAATACAAAAATTCTTTGTGTCGCGGAAAATTGTGTCGAATTGGCGCTTAAATTATGTGAAAACAATGATTAAAGATAAATTTGTCACTGTTTATGGGAACAAATATATACAAAACTTATGAAACAATGAAAAAGTTGACAGCTGTATTTTCATCAATATATTTATAAAACGAAAACGCAGTGTCTGAACTTAGTTACAACGAATGATTTATCAAAGCAGACTGAAGAATCCAATAAAGAGTTGCAAACAAAATAAAAATAAAGCTAAAGAATTGTAGTAGTGATAAAAGTGAATTTAAAACGCACTTTGGACCGTATAACTACAAGAAGCAGAGAAAAATCTTTGGTCTTGCATACATACTTTAAGTGCATATTGCAAAATATCACGCCCACTAACCGAATCGTTAATAGTGCATTGTGAACTAATTAAAAAAAATGTCTGTTCAACGTGGCAATGCGAATGCACCTGCAAAGGATATAGAGAAGTTTATAAAGTTTCTAGCAATAAAATCGACACAAGTTGTCGTTCAGTCGCGATTAGGGGAAAAGATACAGACCCAGTGTAAAGCCAAAGCCAGTGGCAGTGATTGGTTCAATGTAGTTATTAGTGATCATCCTGATATTTATGCTGAGACAAAGTTGGCGTTGGCATTAGAACCGGGGCAGAGTATCCTAAGTCGTTTGCCATTATGTGTGGAAATTTCGCTCCGCACGGTTGAAGGAGACCAAATGGTGCTAGAAGTGTGGATGTTGGATATACACTTACCAGGCTGTAATAAAAACTGTAAACATCATTTTAGTGACGGTAAAAATGCAGACAATGGTAAATGTGGGTTTTCAGATCAGCAAACATTGAAAGCAGCCCACGCTATCTACAACCGCATGGGTACTTTACTAAAATCGCTAATCTCCTTAACACGATCTACACCTGGTTATAAATTATCACGACGTCAGTGCCCAGAAGCATTTGGAATTTATTATCGTATATACGTAGATCGTCCGCAGTTGCATACTTTGGGTGAGGGAAGCAAAAATGTAAAAATTGGTAATCTAAGCACAATACTGGGCACCTTATGCATGACAGTTTCCTATCGTACCAAAATGACAATTACACCAACCACAGCAGATGGACATAACACTGAAACAAATCCAATTATGCTTAAGTCTGATCATTTTCGACGTGGAGACTCTTCGCCTACACAAAATTTGTCAATAAATGGCTTGAAAAAAGCGACAGGCGAAAAACGCCCAGTAGATATTGAAAAACCTTTGCGGCCAGGTGCTTTCACCGATACTGGAAAGCTACGCCAATGGACAGAAAAGGATTATGTCTTGCCTGAAACTCCACCATTCGAATGGCTTTTGCATCGTTCGCGACATGAAAGCGGTGGCTCGGTAGGGTCAATAGAATCGTTAAGTAGAAAGAGTGATAGCAGTGCAACTGCACCAAATTCTTGCAAAATACAAGAGCAAGGCATACAAAATAACAACGTCGGCACGGGTAGTAATAATGTTAACGCTAATAAGAAAGTGATAAATAACAATGTGTTGGCATTTAAGAGTTTTGAGAATGAGCAAAATGGTATACAAGCGAAATCTCCTACTGACAGTTCAGTGTTCTCACAGTCGCCAATTAAAAGTCTTCTTATACCCGCTCCAACACTACCGATGACACGAACCAATGCCTCGAAACATCGGCCCGAAGATGAAAAATTGCTTAAAGCGATAAAGTTTCCATTTGCCTTTCCTGATTCACGTGTTAACGATTTAGCGCAGTTTTATCGTGATTGTTATCATGCCCCACCACTACTTGGACTGGATGAAACGCAGCCGGAAACCGCTGTAGAGCAACTAGAAGAATTTGAAACATCCTTAGAAGACTACGATGAATTAGTTTCGCAATTAGGATTAAGTACGTCATCTTCGACAGGTAGCCGGAGTAGTGGCGGACTGCAAATGAGTAACTAATACCAAGGGAATGTTGTAGCAGATCAATGGATATTAGTATAAGCGGATAAGTAGGTAGATAGATGAAAAGTATAAGCACGAAAGCCGATGAACTATTAACTAGCATAATAAGCAAATTATTTGACTTGCATTTTTTGTAATTTGCATTATTTATTATATTATATTAATGCTTAATTATACTATAAGTATGTACATATATAATGAGACTTATTTGTTAAGAGTTTAGATTTTATATACATACGTATGTAAGTGCATAATTATTGTTTGATTATAAAAAATGTTATGGAAACAAACATAGTGTGCAGTGAAAGTTGTTAGCATATTTTTACTGTTAAAATTTTGATATTTTGATCAAAAAAATGTTTTCTTACGAGCCATGAAAATTAAAATAAATTCATAAAATTTTCAAACAGTAATAATATTGTCGATATACATTATCAATTCAATTCATTTCTCATTCTTTCAAACCCAATGATAATATGTAGTAACAATATTCTGTCTATGTAGTTACATAACCTGCACGCAGCATTGTTTAGTGCCTTTTTTGAACTAATATTATATTTTGCTACAAAAATTCATATAAAAATCATTATGAAAATTTAAGTGTTTTTACTTCGGAAATAAAAGCATATATAATATGTAAACATATATAGCTACATATTCACAGTCAAAGATGTTTAAAGTAATATATGTAGATTAACAAACGTAGCTCAGCTGTTTGCCCAAAATCTAATAAGGATTAAATATAATTATTTTATATTAGCATCCAATTAAGAATGTATAGTAGGTTTGACGTGCTCAGAAAAATAAAAATTTTGAAATATTTTTATATTAACGAAGCGTTCCAGATCTATTTTAAATATTTTTCTTTTATAAATTTAGAACTAAATGTACTGAGGTTCATCTAGTTTTGTATAATTAATTATAACTTTGCATAACGTATGACAGTTCAAAGACCTAAATATAAACAAACCATCATACATACGTGTACATATGCTCATTATTTTAGTTATATATATATATACATACATGCATACCTAAATATATAATATTATAAAAACCCCATTCATCAGAAACTTGAATGTTGTTCATGGAGTTACAGGTGATTTGATGGGCTACCACTTAAGGCAAGTATTCAAATACAAAAAAATTAACAGCGTTTTTGTTTCAGATAAAAATGTCACCTTCTTCTTCTTGCACTCAAACTTGTCGCTACTTTGCTATTTCAGAGTATTTCAAAAAAAAAACAAAAGGAAATAACATTTTCCAAACACTTTTGTCACTGGCTTGAAGTCGATTATTATTAGATTGGTCATCTTTTTTGAATATGAAATTGACTCTTTGTATTTAATACTTTCACAGCTTGAATCTAATAATTCGATACATTTTTTGATAAAATTTCACAAACAAAATGTACTTGTATTTCAAAATTGTGTTTTATTTTTTTTTTTTTTGTTTTAAAGTGATATTTTTATAAATACATGTATGTATTTATGTAATATACATATTTATGTTTGTGTAAACTAATTAGAATATTTAATAATAATAACGCTGTGACTGATTAGACTTATTGGGCTGATTTCCTGTATTGCTTTACCAAATATCTAAATTATTATGTATGTATGTTATTACTAAAACCTATTACAAAAAAAAAGAAAAGAAAAGAAATATTACAAAAACTCGAATAAACTATATCAGTATACTTTTACATAATACTATGCGCATCGTGTTTTTGATTGAACATTTTTTTTGTATGATTTTTTGAAAGTTCTGCCGTTTTTAAGACGGATTTAGTATAATATGTACGTGCACATACACTTGTTCAGATGTATTTACAATATGTATGCCGATACAAAAAGATTGTGTACAAACATACGTGTATACAGGTGGGTTGGCGCCTTTGTATTGGGTTGTATGTAGATATTTACATGCAATACCTACATATCTACTAAAGCGAGAAGAAAAAGAATAATATAAATATTTTGAAACTATTATAAAATCAACGTTCAAACACATGAGTTAATGTACATATGTATTTGTACTGTATATATTTATATACAGTCTTGTGGCAATATATAAATTATTTTCTAGCTACAACCGGCGTGAACAATTCTAACATACATACATATTTACGTATACAGGTAAGTATATACATACATACGTACGTTTACAGGTTGTTAAGCTAAAATACAGACCAGACGTGCTTGAATTATGCAAAGTTATTAGCAAAAAAAAGTAGTTGGATTCGCGCGCTGCGTCCAATATTATTCGGTCGATACTATCGCCCACCAGAGTCGGCAATTCGAAAAATCGTAGATCGCTCCACGTTTACTCTGGAATAATGTGCATCCTCAGAGACGTCCTAAAGTGCACACCGCAAACCCTCTTGCTGGAATGGAGCAGAGGTTTGAAGGAGACCCATATGAGTGCCTTCGCCATCGCAGGCAACAATTGGGGCTGTGTTCGTCCACTTTAGGGAAGATATTGTATCCTTCCAGACTCGAGCAAATAACGAAACGGAAAGACCACCAAGCACGACGCACATTCAATGAAGGGTTCAAAAACGAGATGGAAGAAATTTGTGTTCCACAACGAGGCTTACTTTTGTTTCAATGAGTAGGTTAATAAACCAAATTGTCGTTGAGATGTCGCTTCTTCTTCTCTACCAAGGCTTTCCAACGGAGTGGAGGTCTTTCTATTATTCTGCTTCCACCAGCGGTAAACTATCACAGCTGGAGTATTCTTATCCATCCGGACCACAAGACCTAGCCAGCGTAGCGCCTCTTTTTTGATTCACTGAATTATGCCTAAGTCGCCGTATATCTCATACAGCGCCATACCATTATTACTGAAATACAGCACCAATTGCTTCAAAAAGTGGTCGAAAACTGGACCTCTCGGTTGGAATTTATTCGAGACAAAATGACAAACCCTCATATTTACTTATAGTGACGTCATAATATCTTTACCGATCGAAACTATGAAGGGATGTAAATATTTGGAAAATACCTTTTTTAACCAAACGAATTTGTAATTTGCCACGCTAAAAAAGCAACAATTCAATCGGGAAATAATTATAAAATTGTCTACTTATTATGTATGTACATATGTATGTATATACTCATGTACAATTCTAATAATTAACGTCATTATTGAGCCATTTGTGAGTGTGACTAATAGCAAAGCAAATAAACAAAAGAGAAAAAAAAAGGCAAAAAATAAACAAAAGGAAAATAAAATGCAAAACCAATATATTTTAGGAATTTTTTATCTTGGACTAATTAGATTGTCTGCGGTGTAATACCTTGTTATGCAGTCAATTTGCATATATATACTTATACAGGGTTCTCCAATAAGAGGTATTGTTTTGAATGGCATGCCAATCCGGTAATTTCTTGACATTTGACAAGTAAAAACCACGTCAGTAATAAAAATAGAACGTCACACGCTTCAATAACAGATTGAAATTATTAAAATTTACCGTAAAAGTTATATCGAAAAATAATCTTGACGGATGAGGTTCATTTCCAACTCGAGGGCTACCTCAATAAGCCAAACTGTCGCATCTGTGACTCGGATAACCCAAGATTTAATTGTTTGGGTTTGCCGGTTTATGATGATGAATGAATTTTTATTGTCGGAAGTGAATGGTATTGATCTGGTCAACGTTTACTTTCAACAACACAACACAAGCAAGGAAATCATCGATCTTTTAAGTTCAGGTTCCTCAAAAAAAACGTTTATTTTCAAACTAATTTTATATATGTTTTAAAAAAATGTATAAATCAAAGTTTTTGTAGATAAGCAGACGAACAAAGATATTATTAAAAATTTTTTTTTGAATGACGGCTTTTGAAATAGCTGCTGAAACACGTCCCATTTGTTAGTGATAAACACCATAAATATAAAACGAATGAAAGCAAAAAACAAAACGGTTTCTTTTTCTGTATCACATCGCCTTTGGCCGGAATTACAATGATGCATTTTCACAAAAAAAAAAATGGCGGACTTTTTAATTTTTCAGACTTTTTTCCAATTTTAATTTTTATAAATATTTTAGAGAGACATGCCGTTTAGTGCATGACTTCAATAGGTTCTAAATAAGAGTGTTAACCAGTTGAAAAAACGTGGTTTCGAAAAAAAATGCTCTCCCCTATTCTATATATTTCTTGACCTTAAGGACCTTTGGGACCATTTCTATATTATTTCTAGCAATTTACAGGAAAAAAAGGAATCTGGCCTTAAAGGAAAAGTTTTTTGCCTATCAATATAACATCTCTTATTGGAAAACCCTATACTTTGTACATATGTACATATGCACATACTCTATATGGAAATATATTTGCTTTGGCTGACAGTGTCGAAGGTCAAGTTTGTTCAGTCACTTTTGACTAAAGTTTGCGTACTTACATACAAGTTTATACTTACTCGTACATATATTGCTCATTATGGCGCCTGATTTGCGTTCACATGCCCAACATTATTCAAAATAATATATGTATGTACAAATGTAAGTAAAGCGAAGATAATAATAATAGATAATAATAGCCGTCTTCCTGCTAATTTAAGTAAAAATCTACCAACCGAAAAACGATTTATTCGACTTGTCTCTAGTTCCTGGTTCGTTTTTCGAAACCCTTATGTTTTCATACAAACCCTTCTAATAACCATAGAAACAAACGGACAAGTTTTCAGTACAATCTGCCCTGTAGTTTCGGAGTTCTGCGAACGATTTAAGGTCCTCTCGGCGAATATTGCAGGTGATGAAACGCTGAGCTGTACGAGTTATACGATGACATTGTCATACATAGTTCAGCGAATGAAGAGACAGCAGCCACCGGGTCGTCCGAATGGATGAAAGCACTGCACCTTTGGAAGTATTCGATGCGCTAACCATTGGTAGAGGAACAGGAAGAGGAAGAAGACCTCTGATTCGTTGGTATTTCCAACTGGAGCCAAGAACCGAAAAATCGTCCCGCTATAATCGCGTAAGCGTTGCCTACGCCAATAAAGTAGAAGAAAAATAGGTTCAGAGATTGCAGAAGACAAACACACAAACAAAGGTCTTTATAGTTAACGATTACATACATACATATTTGCAAAGAAAGGGAATACATGTCAATTATTAACGGTAAAATTGTCATATGGGAAACAACATTATAACAATACTAAATATTTATTTCAAGTTTTTCAATTACTTCATTGTACACATACATATGTATAATATTGGTATATATGTATGTGTGTATGTATGTCAATTTTGCCAAACAGCCGTTACGCCCAATAATATTTCTTTGAATTGTGATGTTTAGAATATTAATATACATAAGAGCAAATGCACTTACATATCTATATACATTCCTAACGCATGACGTTATGTTTTTAATGACGTGCGGGTATTGTTCAAACAAAAAATTTAAATTTGTTTTTTTCATAATATTTATACAAATGTTTCTAATTTCTGAATAGACTTTTTACGTCTATAAATAGGCATGTTTTATATGCACATGAATATACATACATATGTACCGTATATAATTGGCGCTTTGTAACCGCTGAAGCGATTTTCGGCCGAGCTCCCTCTTTCGAATTCGTGGTTTTGCGTCTTGATGTTTTCCCAACAAATGGAGGGACCTACAATTTATACTGAACCGCCTCCGCACGGCTGATGGTTTTTTATGAGGAGCCTTTATTTTATGTTCGAAATACACTGGGAGCGGTGGACATTTCCTACCGAGGGGCTACCGCAATTAGAAAATTTAACTTAATTTTTTATTTAAATTAAATTTCTATAACTTTTGGTTGTGTGTGGGATTTGAACTCGAGCCTTTCGAATGGCAGTACGCAATGATAACCACTCCGCTGAAATATTTTATTTGTTATAAAAATAAATATTTGAACTCGGAACTAATTTTGTATTTTTCACTTAAGTGATTGGGATAAATGTTGCCAGCTCTAACTGGTGGAGAGATTTTTATTT